TTTTATGAAATATTGAAAACTGAATTTATATGTCATTTAGAGCAATGGTTTAAATGGAGTTAATCAGCAGGGGCCATCCTCGCTTGGATTGACCACCCACGCACCCACTGCATGGCGTGGGCAGTATGCAAATGTAGCAACCCACTTGTACACCCACGCAGTTCAGTTGTGTGCATGCGTGGGTGACCAGCATCATCCAGCATTCACTTAGGATCTCAAGCATGGAAGAAGCACCTCCGATTGTTCTTCCACCACCCACCCAACATCTAGTAGGTTTAGGTTTTCCACTGGGTCCCTTCCCAGTGTGATAGTATGGGCACCACGGAAGCTCTGCCCCCTAGATAATGATCTGTGGGTCATCCCCTCCGATGGTTGGCCCCACCCCAAATATGGGTGGGACCACCTTGAGGGTTTCCGGATTCCCCCTCGAGGCACACCTCGTGCAACCACAATGAGGGGGCAGGAGACCAGGGGGTTTAGTCCGCCCACAGAATGTCATTGCGTGGGCGGAGAACCCCCCGGCATGGTGGACCGGAACGCATGAAAGGCCCAGTTATTCTGGGGGGAGGGGCTGAAGTGGGGCCCATACATTGGCCACACTTCCTCAGGGCAGTGTGGCCACCGTCTCATTCTTTAGGCAATCGGTACAGAGGACGGTGGACCACGGTAGGCAGGTGGACCCGAGGTAAGATTAAATACCCTTTTCAATGCATAGCATCTACCGTATTACGCATAAATAGAGGTGACGTACGTATACATACAGACATACTCGTCTCGTTTATGTGGGGCTCGCTCAGGCTCGCCCCAATTATATTACATAATACCATCCAAGACTATTTTAATAAAAACAAATAAAACTAAAGTGTAAGATTACTAGTGAAAGATGATGATAGTGTTTGTGATACTTATCTACTTCAATGGTCTCCTTGTTAGCTCTGAGGGTAACTACCTTCCCTTCCTGTATCCTACTGACTATCTAACAATCAGCAATAATTCTTATGCTAATGTTTCATTGCCATCTACACTTAAATTTGGATCTTCTTGTTATAACTATGCTTATGTAAGGATTGTATAATATGTATGAGTATAATGAATATACTTATTGTCTAGATTCAGACTAGAGGATACATCTCTCTTGATGCTGGCTTTTATATTGATGTATATTATGACAGAATAGATTTAACTGGAAGAAGTGGTGAAATACGTTACGCTCTTATAACTCCAACAACAAATCTTTCATTGAGTAATCAAGTCAATGATTACTTATCTAATTCAACTGGTAGTAGTGTATCTGTTGAATGGATACTGTGGGCCTACTGGCATAATGTATGCTCAATTGATAATATTTGTAACAATACTGAGGTGAACAATATCTACATCCATAACTCATTAATAATTTTTGTTGTAGTCTAATCATTTTCAGGTTGTATTAGCTCATCAAAGTAATGCCACATATGCTGTGTTTATATACAAGTGTGGACTCATACGATGGACAACTGGAGCTGGCATTGGTATTATTTATGACTTTGGTAGTCATTATCATTCATTATCTAATACTGATAATGTTACTGACATAGACTGCTATGATGCAGTATCAGGATGGACTAATATTGTATACAGACTAGATCAAGGTATTATTAATCAACCTAACATAATTATTAAGGTTAAATTAGTTATAAATAGGTTTGAATTCCTATCCATTACACCTGACAGTATTACAGTATCATGGGAACTTAGCATTCCAGCTATTAACAGTCCACTTATTCTGCATATCACTGATTCAATTCAAATAATTAATGAAACAATTACTGTTACTGGACATTATGCATATAACTATACTGATGAGATAAACCTTTGCAATTTTTATACTTTTAAACTGACTCTACCAAAAGCAAGAACCGACTGCACTGAAGACATAAAAATCATATCTACAGGTACATATAAGGGGTAACTAAAAATGATCTCTAATTAAAAAATAATATAGCTTTGACACCAAAACCTGACAATGTATCTGCATTATATCTAACCAATGAAACATTAATAATAAGATTTCAAGTAAGAACTTTTGCACTATACACTATAAGATTAATTATATCACTAGATACTTCAGTGCTTTATAAAGAAGATACAACTACTTTTGGTTGGAGCTAATGCTTTAAATACATTAGGTCCATTGGATATTGATAATCTTCAATACATTGATGAGTTTTATATTATACACTGGAATATAAAACTAAATGACCATTCATTGTATTACCTAACAGTATCAGCAATTGGTACATATGGAACTAGTAGCTCTAATGTAACAGAAATAAGTAAGATACTATTATCAATGTATGGTAAGTGTATGTATGTACTTATTATAGATGCATATAATGTAAAGGATATAATAATAGAGAGGAATGAAGATATTGTCTGCTTTGTTTGTATTACTGAAGTGCTTAATGAATGTCAATTAATAGCATCAACAACAACACTGATACCACAATCAATACAAACTAATGGAACATGTTATTCATTTACTGATAATGGAACATACACTGTATATGCACATGATATTGAGAATGGAATAAAGATACTGACACCAGCAATAGTTATACAATATACAGTGGACTGGATTAAACCATCAGACACAGGTAATTACAGTAATGAGACAATATACATGTAAATCCAATACAATTATTGCAGAGAACATATTATCAAGTACAAAAGAGTTGATAATATACCAAACAAGCAGTGATGAATCAATACTTTCAATGGAACCTAGTCTGACTACTTCAGCAATGCTCACTACTGCTACTAACAATATTGACTATCAAAGTATGATTTGCACAGTATGTACATGTGTACATGATTCTGTTGTCAGTAGGTCAATCACAAATCATTGTTATAATACTGGGAGGTCTCCTTGGACTCACAACATTTACTGTTCTCGTACTATCACTGGCAATGATCGCAATACTGAGGAAGAAAGGTAAAAGTATGTGTATATTAATACTTTGTATCATTTCAATATGTTATTAAGGTAAAACAAACACTATACCTCAAATTCAAGAGGCTAATGACATTTCAATCACTACAAAAGAGGATCCAGTATATGAAATGATGAACAATGACATACCATCACTTAATACTAATAACTACTATGAAGCTGTTGCTATCAGTAACACTGATAACTCTATGGTGTATGATGTCCCTGGAACAAAGCCTCAAGTTTCATCTTACCCATACAAAGTTGGACATTTTAAATGATACTTTACTTAATACACACGCTTACAATATTTTAGAGCATGCTAATGGTATACATGTACATCATGTCAGTGTAAACATTAAATCTATGTTTTATACTAGCACAGATTGTTTATGCATTGAACCATGCAGTATAGATTAAGTGAAATGCAAACATCTTACTCTTAGCTAAATAAATGCCATTACCAAAACAGAAACATGTAAAAAAGGATAGACAAACAGATATATGTATATGTACACAAGGTAGTTTAAAAATAAGCATACAAAATTTACATTAGTCACCACACTCATTGTATACATGTATACCTATACAGGCAAACATTAAAAGTATTAATTAGAATGCTAAAAGCATCAAAGACAGTCTATGTGTAACTATGACTGAGCTATATAAACAAGTAACAATCATGAATAAACGATAGCAATCATACTTTTACAAGTAATAAAATAGTTTTCATAAATAAAAGTGTTATAGATAGAAGTAATTCTTAATGCTCATTAAGTATTGGTTTTACACTATCTGCTATCTTGTACCACTATAAAATGATTATTGCGAATTTTCAGAGTTATTTGAAGAATCACAAAATCTCAATTTATAAAGCTCTCAAAATTTTGAACTGTATGATAACAGACATAATACAATTGGAAAGGTAGGTACAGTTGCATATAAACAACACAGTTTAGAGATCACTGGTTCTGTTACAATTAATAGTATAAACTTCATATGTTTACACTATGTTAATGTGTGAGACTATCCAGTGAACAACATGATCAAAACATATAAACAATCACTATTACAATATTTCCCTGTTGCCTTACACACACAAACAGTATAATGGAATACAAATACAGACACTACATCAAGTGAGACTTAAGTGAGTGACATTATGTAACATGCTGTTTGAATCTTATCAGTAATTGTATGTTAATGGTCCATTGAAGAAAGTTAGAGCTGATTCTGATAAAAATTGGATTTTTATAAATTTTTAATTTGCTCAAAAATTAGCCCAAAGTTCATACATGGTCTTAGGCCAAATTTTGCCAAAATTGAAAAGAAGAGAATTCTCAATCTTCATAATTTTTCTGATGCACATACATGGATTTATGTTGTGTAAAAAGTTTGAGCTGAATCTGATCAAATTTGGATTTTTCACAAATTTTAAAAGCTGCTCCAAAATCAGGTAAAAGTCCCTGTGCTGTAGTACATGGTCTCGGGCCACATTTTGCCAAAAATGAAAGGTAGAAAATTTTCAGTTTTTATAATTTTTCCTGATACATATACATGTTTTTATGTAGTGTAGAAAGTTTGAATTGATTCCAATCAAATTTGAATTTTTTATCTAATTACATCACTCATGATATAGTGAAGTTTCAAATATGTTTATAAGTAAATTTTCTGATTTAATTATTGCATTTTATCAACTCCCCAAAAATGCTATCAATGTAATAAAATGGCTGACTTTGCTCATTCTATTAACAATTAAAATTTAATCTGTTTCTTAATTGTTCTTGCCATTATAAAAAAAATTCACTAAAGGTAGCTGTTGAAACTAAAGCAAACTTAGCATTGTAAAATAAAGCAGCTAAGCAATAAAAATTGTCAAAACTCATCTGTTCCACTATTACTGTTGATGACATCATAAAGGTAGAATAAATTTTCATATTAGGTCACCCCATCTTTTACAAGATGTAAACAAAAATTAATGTGCATAGGTTTACAAAACACTTGTGTACATAATGGCATAAGTTAAATCACTTAAGAGCAATTGTGCGTGCAATAAAGACATGAAAAGGATACAGCAAAAATTGTAACTATGCATGCACAATCATCAAATATTTGTGGTTGCAGTAGTTGAATCATTAGTCCTATAAGATCAGTTTATGCAGTATAAAATGACAATAGTGTTTGTGATACTTATCTACTTCAATGGTCTCCTTGTTAGCTCTGAGAGTAACTATCTTCCCTTCCTGTATCCTACTAACTATTCAATACTTGATGATGTTCTTGATTCTGCTGTAAATGTGTCACTGCCATCCCCATTAAGGTTTGGATTATCATGTCACACTGAAGCATGGGTTAGCTAATCTTATATAGTCAATACTTATCCGTACATAACAACTCTATCTTTAGATAAGTACTCATGGATTCATTAGTTTAGGAAAAAGTTTTGGCAATGCCTACAAACCCAATTCTTTTCCTATTTCTACTCCAGTCATTGCTCCATTTTGGAATGACAATGAATTAACTGGAAGAGGTGAAGCACGCTATGCTATTATAACTCCAACAACAAATCTTTCATTGTGCAATCAAGTCAATGATTACTTATCTAATTCAACTGGTAGTAGTGTATCTGTTGAATGGATACTGTGGGCCTACTGGTATGATCTGTGTCCATATGGTGATAATATTTGCAATGATACTGAGGTTGATAGTATATATAACTTATATTAAATAATTTTTCCTGTAGTCTAATCATTTTCAGGTTGTATTAGCTTATCAAAGTAATGCCACATATGCTGTGTTTATATACAAGTGTGGACTCATAGAATGGACAGAATATGATGCTGGTGTTGGTATTAACAGTGGTGATGGGTATTATATCAATCATCCACTAGCTAATACTAGTAATGTTACTGATATAGACTGCTATGATGCAGTATCAGGATGGACTAATATTGTATACAGACTAGATCAAGGTACTATTAATGGATGTAGCATATTCTTATAGTTTAATTAGTTATAGATAAGTTTGAATTCCTATCTATTACACCTGACAATATTACAGTATCATGGGAACTTAGTAATCCAAATATCAACAGTACACTAATTCTTAGTATCAGTGATTCACTTCAAACAATTAATGAAACAATTAACGTTACTAAATATGAAAATGTATACAATTATACTGAAGACCTCTCTTCTTGTAACGAATATACCTTTAAACTGGCACTGCGCATGTCAAGCGGATGTAAGGACAGCATTAGAATCATATCTACAGGTACAACTAACTTATTTTAATAAAATTACAATTATCACTTTTTTAAAGCACCAAAACCTGAAAATGTATCTGCATTATATCTAATCAATGAAACAATAATCATAAGATTTCAAGTATGCATCAACAGTCAATAATGTATTATAACAATTTACAGATAGATGAGAAGATTACAAATGCAATAAAGTTATTTCTGCTTGCAGCTAATGGACACATTAATACATCAGATTCATTGGATATTGATAGCCTTCAATACATTGATGAGTTTTATATTATACACTGGAATATAAAACTAAATGATCATTCATTGTATTACCTAACAGTATCAGCAATTGGTACATATGGAACTAGTACTTCTGATCATGTAACAGAAATAAGTAAGACACTATTATCAATGTATGGTAAGTGTATGAATGTACTTATTACAGATACATATAATGTAAAGGATATAATAATAAAAAGGAATGAAGATATTGTCTGTTTTACTTGTGTTACTGAAGTGTTCAATGAATGTCAATTAATGATAACAACACTGATACCACAATCAATACAAACTAATGGAACATGTTATTCATTTACTGATAATGGAACATACACTGTATATGCACATGATATTGAGAATGGAATAAAGATACTGACACCAGCAATAGTTATTGAATACACAGTTGACTGGATTGAACCAACACAAACTACTACTAATAATATTGACCATCAAAGTATGATTTGCATAGTATGTACATGTACATGCACATGATTCTGTTGTCAGTAGGTCAATCACAGATCATTATTATAATACTGGGAGGTCTCCTTGGACTCACAACATTTGCTGTTCTCATACTATCACTAGCAATGATTGTAATACTGAGGAAAAAAGGTAAAAGGATACATTATATATTATCATGATTTAAATGCTATGAAGGTAAAGCAAAGTCCGAAAATTCTATACTCCATACTCAAGAGACCCCTGATGAAAACCAAGGTACTTTTGAAAACCAAGTCGCCACAAAAGAAGATCCAGCATCATATGAAATGATACGTAATGAAATACCATCAACTAATGTTGATAAACACAGCAACTATACTTCCCTTATTATCAGTACTACTGATAAGTCAACCGTATATGATACTCCAGAAACAAGGCCTCAAGTCTCATCTTGCCCAGTTGGGGGAACATTAAACGATCCATTGTACATATAACTCATAGACATAAGACACACACATAAATAAAAAGTAATGTAGTATGGTGTGCAAATGCTGCAAAAATTTATGCTTATTATAGTGAAGTAAAATTTAGCAAACAACTTAGCAAATAATGTTAGTATGTATCCACTGTTAAATGATTATAAATGATAGTAAATTATTTTCGTTGTGGTTTGTATTATTTAATCTATGTGATGTACTATATTGTGCATTAGTTTTGTATGTTACTATCTCTCTCTCTTGATGTTCTTTTTGATTCTGTCTCTGTGATTCTTCTCTCTCAGTTTTACTCCTTAAGATAATCAGTTCATTTATAGCCTAATAGCTATTTGCCTACTCTCTGCGTTAAACTCTCACAAATAAGTGTAAATAATTATTGAAGTACAGAAATGCATGTTATTATCAGCACATGATAAACACAGCAGATTAGTGCAAGTGACAAACAAAATCAAATGAATGATAAACTGATGATAATTGCATTCATGTATTTTTATCAGCAAAAATTGACAACAAATTAAACAAAAGCAAAAATCAAGTTTGCATGCATGAATCCTTCAAAATAGATCAACAACAGATTCCCTGCGATGTCTAAAAACATCAGTAGAACTGGGTACAATATCATTCCTCTGCTCATCGACAGTTTTATGAGAATCAGTTACATCTAAAAGAGGCTTATCATCATTGTCATTATGGAGGATATTAAACAATATCCTCACTAGTACATTATACCACTGTGTTTGTGATAGCTACAAGTAGAGGTGATACAGTACAATTAACATAAAACTGGCAGTGAAAAGAGACAAGCAAGTATTGAACCAAATCCATACCACACTGTCATCAGTATAAGCTACAGAGAAACCAACCATCATACGTAAATTGAACCTCTATTATATTGTGCATAAGTAACAGATGGCTGTAAATAGAAATAATACCTGTTTACAAGTTTAATAGACAATTTACAGGTAATAGGTTTCATATTATACACATAGTTTAACCTTTTAAAGTTTACAAGTTACATTATGTTTATCACTATAGTCTATAGTCTATGAACAATCAACAGTGAACAATAATAATCAAAACTAAGTTAACATGGACTATTGTACCATTTTACTATTCTATTAAGTTAATTCTAACTAATTTTTATAAGCCAAACAGGATATGTTTAAAGTATTACTAGAACAAAAAAATTTAAAAAATTATTTAGTGTAGGGTTGAGCCTCTGTTGGGTTTGAACCTATAAAATGAATTCAAACAAGCCCCTGTAGGGTTGCTGGTTTCAAACTATAAAATAAATTCAAACAAGCCCCTGTAGGGTTCTAGCACCATTTAAACACCAACATGTCAACCCTACACTGCAGGTATGAAATGGCCTTTGCAGCACTGAGAGTATTGCTATTAATGTTAGTATGGCAATTAAATAAGCACAAGAGTGGATAAGGAGGAGGGGAGAGTGTCTAACTGCCCTATGCTGCTAGTGATATGTGCGCGTAGAAGTTTCATGGTTATTATTTGTACATTCCCGCATACCTTATTTAGCACAATAAGTGATAACTGCACTGAAGCCATAGTTGGGCGTGTACTTAAGTTAACTGTAATATAAAAATGGCTGCTGAACTGAGCAGCAAGAGACCATACAGAGACCTTGGAAGCAGAATTTGACCTCACCTTGTTGTACCAGTCACTTTGTACCACTCTGAAGAGATTTGTAGTTTACAAGCACACAAACAATGTTTGTTATTGACACATGAAAAGCTCTTGATCAATGATCATCCTCCTTTAGTCTGGTCCCTTGCAATTGGGACCCACAACATCAAGAGTAAGGATAATAATAGAAGTGAAAGAATATGTGGTACATGTACTTTTGAGACATGCTGCTGCTGTTAACTGCTGTTGATCTTAAAAACGAAGTATTACAGATCTGAGTTCACTGGAGCAGAGGCTTCTGACTCTTGGCTCCATGTCCTCTTTCTTGATGCTTTAGGGCGCTTAGGTGTAGTGGCATGACGCTCATCAAGATTAGATGCTCTCAATCTGTTGTAACAGTCATGATCATCTGGATTGTGTAGTTCTGACTCTTCCTCTTGAAACATCGTGACTACACGTGTGGGTGGGTGCACCATATAGGTTATTAAAAACACACCCATTTACTATCATGGCTGTTGATGTTTAAACAGGTCAAAGAAGGTGCTAAACAAACTGTGAAAGACTTCTACGCGCACATATCACTAGCAGCATAGGGCAGTTAGACACTCTCCCCTCCTCCTTATCCACTCTTGATAAGCATTATGGTAAAACTTGTGCATTCCTTTAAATTAATTAAATTAAGTTATGATAATCAATGGACAATTATACCTGCAGTGTAGGGTTGACATGTTGGTGTTTAAATGGTGCTAGAACCCTACAGGGGCTTGTTTGAATTTATTTTATAGTTTGATACCAGCAACCCTACAGGGGCTTGTTTGAATTCATTTTATAGGTTCAAATCCAACAGAGGCTCAACCCTACACTAAATAATTATTTAAATTTGTTCTAGTTAAAGTACAATCATATGTAGCTACAGGTACTCTTGATTTTATCAAGGTAGTCAACCAGCCTATTTATTAGATCTATAATGACGTTTATTGCATGCAATCATGGCAAACAAGTCTTGTATGCATCCAGAGATGGTGCTTCATAAATAAAAAATCTTTGGAATTTAGTAAAGGGAATTAATCAAGGACTGTGTGTGAGTGGGGAAGAGGAGATGAATGGGAAAGAAAAATATTATTGAAGCTATACAAACTAGTATTGTTGTTTGAAATTAAACATTATTGCTACACTATAATAATTAATATTTTACTTTTAAGTTACTGATGGTCATGTATAAGAGGGTTCCACGTAGTTGCATTATTGAATTGAGTTAAAATTTTGAATAAATCTTTTCATTTAAAATTTGCTTTAAAGAAATTAAGGTTTGGATTTTATCACTCAGATGTTGGCATAATGATTTTATTATTTCAGGAAAACAGTTTCTGATTTCAATATTGCTTTAATTGCTGTATGAAATGTCAGAGACGCCACTGCCTGGTAAATGTTAGAGCTGATTTCAATTGAAAGTTTCTGAGTTGTGGCCATTTTTCAAAATATGCCAATTCCTGGAAAAAACCTTGTACTATATAGCCCATGCTTTTTCAAAAAATGACTCCAAAACCAACCCCAATTTTTATTACATTTTCTGATACATATTGATGTACTAATGCTGTGTAGAAAGTTTGAGCTGGTTTTACTGACACGTTTTAGATAAAAGATGTCAGTACTCTAATTTAAAGTGATATAGCATCATTCTAGTTTATAGCTTGTCCATCTGACATAAAAAAACTGCATGCCACATGTTTATAAGTAATCAAATAAATTAACAGTGCATAATTATCATTGTTTGTGATCATGTACATTAATTGTCTCTCCCAAATTGTTGATTTTATACTATATGACCCATTACTTACAGTTGAATGTGCAGTTGATGAATAATTTTGGATTTTATCACTCAGATGTTGGCATAATGATTTTATTATTTCAGGAAAACAGTTTCTGATTTCAATATTGCTTTAATTGCTGTATGAAATGTCAGAGACGCCACTGCCTGGTAAGTGTTAGAGCTGATTTCAATTGAAAGTTTCTGAGTTGTGGCCATTTTTCAAAATATGCCAATTCCTGGAAAAAACCTTGTACTATATAGCCCATGCTTTTTCAAAAAATGACTCCAAAACCAACCCCAATTTTTATTACATTTTCTGATACATATTGATGTACTAATGCTGTGTAGAAAGTTTGAGCTGGTTTTACTGACACGTTTTAGATAAAAGATGTCAGTACTCTAATTTAAAGTGATATAGCATCATTCTAGTTTATAGCTTGTCCATTTGACATAAAAAAACTGCATGCCACATGTTTATAAGTAATCAAATAAATTAACAGTGCATAATTATCATTGTTTGTGATCATGTACATTAATTGTCTCTCCCAAATTGTTGATTTTATACTATATGACCCATTACTTACAGTTGAATGTGCAGTTGATGAATAATATGGTATAGAACTAGTAGTGTGGGCTGTGAC